TGCAACTTATTAATGATGCTCAGTTTGAAGAACTATCAGTTAGGGATTTGATGTTGACAAATGCTTTGAACACTGATTATCTCCTTACGTTGCCGATATATGTTGACTGGAAGAGAGCCTCTGAATCCAATGCAATTATATTCCGGTAATTTAGTTTCTTTTGTGTGTGTGCGCGCACGTGTGCTTACTACATATGCTTTCACTAGTAAGATAACGGAGTATTTTACTTTTGAAATGATCTCTTTTCTCACAGGCGGGGTTATGCTACTGAGAGGCAGAAGGGTCTACTGATTGTTGAAAAGCTGGATTACTTGCAATCCAGACTCCTGCGAGGAATCTTCTCCATTATATCAAAACCAGTAGCAAAAGTTGGCAAATGGATTTCTTACAATCTCAATGAGGTTATTGCCTTCTCCTCTATGACTTCCCAGCATTAATTAGAAAGCAAATGGCACACAAATGAGGTTCTCTAAATGGAAATTGACTGCACAGATATCCTCTAGAATAACCTATTAAGGTGTCAATGATTGATCTTTGATGTTGGTTGATCTCTTTTATTTAATCAATAACTATCACTTTGGAGTTTAGATTGTGTTATTTGTTTGTCTTTTACTCTTTTACCCTTCTCGTATTGGGTTATATATTATCCAGTCTGACAAAGTTCTTCTTCATTACTCTAGGACAGGCTCTCAAGGATGCATCACAGGAAGAGGAAACACAAAACTGGATTGGGAGATTGAAGCTTTGGCTTGAGGAATTGTCTCTCTTTCAGCAGTCATATTTTAATAATGAGCAAAATTTTGAAAATGTGCCCGGCATCGACCAACTATCAGATTGTGACCTTCCTATTTGGCTGGCAGCACAGAGGGCAATTAGTCGCTATGAAGGTTTTCTGTCTGCAGTTGGGCCCCGTGGAAGGCTTTTAAAGAAGTTGCTTGCACGGATTGGGCTTATACGTCCTACATCAGAAACACCGTTTCAGCTTCACAGTGATAGTAGTGTTTCTGAACCCTATTTAAGGTTTGTTAAACCAAACTCTTTTATATTCTTTATGTATTGAGGACTTAGGAGATTTCCTCCACAGTCAACGGGATTGTGTGTGTCTAATGCCTCATGTTCAGATTTCATTTCATGGACAGGGTGTAATGGGAAGGGTTGAGATGTCATTGGCTTAGGTTGCCTTCTGGTCCTTGTTATTGTTTAGGTTATTGGTCATTCCTTCAACGAGTAATTGTTTTTTTTCATCAAAGCTAAGCATATTAACTATTTGACTGAGTGCTGTACTTGGAAGATGATCTGTTTGCTGACACGTGAATAAGAAAAACCTAAGGTGTTACTTGAATGTGCTGGTACATAGACTACTGTTCCGGAAAAAAGAAAAATCAATTTGATCTGATTTCATATCATCTTATAATGCATGCTTTGTAAGGCTTTGATGTGATTTTAGTCAATTTGATCTGACATCATATCATCTTATAATGTATGCTTTATAAGGATTAGATGTGATATTAGAAGTTTTTATCTATGACAACTTTCTTATTAATTAATAAAAGAATTTTTCACTCAGGCCAACTTTCTTATCAAGGATATCACTCAGTGATATATGGAGACCGGCTACAAGGAAATACTGTGGCAATGATGTTTGGAAAATGTTAAAAACTTCTGTTTCCATTCTCCTTTCACGGTCAGTCCTCCAGGTATTTCTTCCATTATGAACCATTCCTGGTTTTTCTTTGCTTATGTTTTATGGTGATTGATGCTTTTAGGATAGATAGTGAAGTTTCTTGCTTTTGTCTACCTATTAGCTTACCTGTATGCATGGATTATCTAATTGTAAAACATTGGTAGTGGCCAAATTTTATTTCTAGAATTTTCATTTTTTGATACCACTCAATGTTGTTTGCAAAACTTTGGTGTCCTTTCTGGTCAGGAGCCAGCATTTCAAGAATTGATTTTGCTTTATACAAAGGATTTTGCTGAAGAAGATACTGAAGATAACACTGAGGCTCAAGCATTACAACTAAAGATCTACGAGAGAATTCCTATTCCAGATTTACCAGTAAATACTCCTAACACTTCAATGTCTGTCAATTCTTTTTCACATTTATGCTTTTCTTTTGTTTTATAATTTTTTTAATCTTATCTTTTCTTTTTTTTAAATTTAGGTCATGATGCTTCATTTATATGTCTCTGGATTTTCACTTTGTTGTCTTACTATTTGTAGGTTATTTTTCCTCACAAAAGGCTGTCTTTCCGTATCATAGACACGGTATGAACAAGGTTAATTATCCATGCTGTTCTAATTTGATTTTAACCAATTATATTTTAGACTCTATATTTGTAGTTCCCTGTCAGTTTGTAAACTCGACGATAATCAACTGGTTAGGAGGCCATATGGATTTCAAACAAGTATTTTCTAACATTCTAAGAGATGCGTTTGTTCAGCCTCATTAAATTCATTTCCAAATGTAAGGAAATTTCACCCCTTGTTAAGCATAGCTTCTGCTCATGGTGTTTCATCGATGAATCTAACTGATGCAGTCAATGAAAGACACACTCTGGAGTGGCAATCAATCCTGTTGGAACACTAGCAATCTACCCTATTAGTTTCACAGATACATCATTTCTTTAGCTCCATCAGATTCCCATTGGACTGAGCTGTTGACTTGTAAAAGTTTTTGGACCCTGGTTCCCTAGACTCAGTTTGATATATAGTTCTGCATGAGTCATTAAGCAACAAAATGGTAATCACCATGACCTTTGGACTTTCCACATCAGGATGTATCTCACCACATTTTATCTCTTCAACATCATAGAACGGCAGTATAGCTGGAGAAATAGAATTAAAGGATAAAGTGCCTCACAAACTTTGTCATTATACATAGGAGGTTATTTTCAACATCTGTGTTATTTCTAGAGTCTTTGTAACAAGAATAGTGACAAGGAAGCATGTGATAACACATGAAATTAAGGCATGAAGGTTGATTGGCCTTGGCTAAGGACTGGACTTAGCTCATGCTTACCTGGTTAACCCTAGTATATTCAAGTACATAATTTTTTTAAATAACCTTTGGACTTGATATTGGTGAACTTCACTTGCAGGTACGCCTGGATGTAGCCACAATATTGGGACTTTTGGCATTTTTCATAAATTACAAATTTGAGGACATTTTATCTTCACCGTACGTCTTGTTGTATTTTCATGTGATCTTTCTGTAAAAAAAGTTAGTTCCATTGGAAAATGTCATTTCATTTTTTTTCAGATCAGCAATATTTCTTGATGTGGTTGCAATCACTGCTCTGATAATATATGTGTCCCGCGTGGCGTTGGGTTACAAACAGACTTGGGATAGGTATCAGGTAAGCTATCAAAATTTTTCCACGCGGTACTGGGGATAATTATATTTATCCATTTTTAAGTATTTAAACAATTTCTTAAAGGAATCTGTTTCCACAGCTTTTGGTTAACAAGACTCTTTATGAGAAAACCTTGGCAAGTGGCTTTGGCTCGGTTCATTTTCTTTTGGATGCTTCTGAACAGCAGCAAGTGAGGAGCTCTTTCTTCTATTTATTTTGCAAAAGCATAATAATAAGTATTTAATTGAGGGGGAAACGGAGCTGCATAGAAATTGTTGAACAGTATATCATCTTAATTTTTTTCATCCCTTTTTGAATTTAGACTAAGACTGACTATTTCATGATTTTTCTATTGAACAGAGAATAAGAGATTCCAGAAATTAATATTTTTATAAAATCTTTATACCAGCTATATTTAATGTTATATAAATTGTTCTTGTTCTAGTTTTTGTGACTCTTTTTTCCCATCCTCATTATCTGCAGTACAAGGAGGCCATTTTAACCTATGCTATCCTGCTTAACATGGAGAATGGTCAGGTTTGTCCTTTTAATCCCATTTCTGATAATCATATGATTGTTGTGGAAGTGCCTCGATGTTTGTAGTTACGGGGCTTCCAAATCAAGGACAGGCATATAGTTTTCAAGTTCTTAGGGCTGATGGCCTGAATTAGATCAATCCTTGATTGTTCTTATCCAGCAAAAAGGGGAACTCCTAGATCAGGGTAATCCTAACTTTGTCCAGTTTTCATGCCAATCCCTAGCCTTATTTCTGATGACTACATTGTGCTTTGAGATTGGAGTTGCATGCAAATGTTGCCTTTTAAGAGTTGGTGACTTATCTATTGGTTTGCCTATTATTGGTCTATGCTCTTTGTATGTACTATACGTCTCTTGAATTAAATTGAAGGGAACTCTACTACCATTCTTAATGCATCATCCAGTTTGCTAAGTAGATCACTAACAAGAATTCTGACTGCAGGCTGCTTGTCACCAAAAAGTTGGAGAGAAATGTGAAAGATTTATGTATGACGTTTTTAAACGAAAGGTAATACCATTGGAGTAGTATTATGTACTAAAGTTGAAATATCCATTGATTTCTCATTGGATTGAAGCAACTGCAGGTTGAAATGCCGGTTGACAAGGCGTTGAATACTTTGGTAAGGTTGGGCCTAGTGACAGAAACAACTGTTGATGGAAGACTCAAGCTTGATGCAGTTCCTTGCCCTAAGGCATATGAGGCTCTTAAAGATCGTTGGCATGGTTTGCTTGGTTAGTGTTTGTATTACAATTACCAAATTCCATTACCATCAACTAGTGTACATCAGTCTGGAAGATTTAGAAATAGTATATTTTTCTTCCGTAGCTGATCTATAAAATTACATATCCCTTAGTTTTCCACAAAATGAGGAATGTATATGCCATCTTTTTTCAAATATAATAATGTGTTTTAAAAGAAATAACTCGAGGCAAGAAAACCTAAAGTTTTCTGTCCTTTGTTTCTCTCTCTCTCTCTCTCCTTTATACATGCATCAGCATTACTCTGTCCTTTATACTTGAAAGTAGAAAAAGGTCAGAAACTATTAGGCAGCAGGAAATTTCATCACTTCTGGAGAAGGCATTGCAGGTTGCAGTTATGCTTCGATGCTTTGGATTTCTTGAGTAATGATAACTTGTTTGAATGTTTCCCGTCTTTCCAATTTCTGAACTTGCGATATGGAGGTTCTACTAATCGAGACACAAATTGAACTCAGTCCTTAGAGCTCAAGGGGTTGAGCCTTGGTAAACACAAAGACTCCTCCACCTCCAACGGCTCTGCCCAAGAGCATATTCCTGTCCAGGTATGAAAGGTAATAAAGTCCTCCCACTGATCTCCTGCAATCAGATATTTTTCACCATTCATTTGGCAATATTCTCAACATGTTTAAGAGCTATGATAATGCACAAGTTGGTTACATATACCTTCCAGTCCCTGGGTTTCTTACGGGAACTTGAGCTCTGAATGTTCGGAGAAACTGCAAAATCTGCACATAAGCATCCAAAGGAATTATCAAAAACAAATAGTAATGTACAATCAACTGTAACCACATAGAGAAGCACACAACTGTAACCTACAGAGAAACACACGATTCTACAATTTCTAGACAATCAAAGGACTTGAATTTGCTGAGTCACCCAGCATCAATTCAACAACATAGCTATGAGACAAGCTAATATGATAATGAACATCAAAGTAGAATACAAAAAAAAATATTATTGACATTTGTTCATAGTGAGCTCAACTTCACTGATGAGAATCAGTTACTACCTAAAGATTGAAGAACCCTAACTTAGTGAATATAACTAGACACAGGACTCCAACTTTTCACATGGAGAAATGCAGAATGGCGGAACCCAAAAACAAACAATGCCAACCAAAAATTCAGGAAATAATTATGTACCTGTAGACTTAAAAATGACCTTGGAAGGAGTGCTGGAGCAATTAAGGCCTGCATCTGTTCACTGATGTTTATATCTTGAACTTTTATCTGCCAAATACAACACGCAGACCTGAGATCAGTTACTAAAAAGATGAAAATCCACTTTCACCTTCCACTAGTAAAGACGGTAAGAAACTTCAACCATGATCTGGACCGCTTAATCTAAAGGCCTACTTACCCACACAAAACTAACCATTTTGTCTGCAGATGATATGACCTACAGCTTCAGATAAAAGAAACGAAAAGGCTCAATCAAGTATCAACATTCTCACGAGAAGATAGTTATGTACTCAGGGTTATCTGAGCATTCCTTTAACTAGGCACATTTAAGGCTATGTAATTCTTGTATGGGATAATAAAAAACCTAGAGGCAGTTAGATGTCAAAAATCTCCACCATATCTGTTTCTGGCTTGTGAAATCCTGGGAAGACCTTCGCTATCAAACCTTACATGGACATAAATTGCTACCATGCATGTTCCTCCAGTAATGTTTTTAAGAAAAAGGACACGGGAGTTGACCTCTTCAAACTGAAGATAGATGTTCCGCACAGAAACAATATCAAACTTAGCAGAAACAACCAGAGTGGCACCTTCTTGCTCCTGCAAAGCAATAGAAAGACAAAATTCCTTAAAACTATATTTTCTTCAAGAATAATGAGTTAAGTAAATTCTTGGGGCTGATGTAATGGAAGCTAGTATTGCTGAAGCGAAAGTAGGTGCACACACCAACTTGGAGTATAAAAGTGCAATTACTTGAGGATCTATGATTCTAGCATAGTATATGTTATGCAGGATAACACAGGTGGAGGGATGGAAAGTAGAAGTTTACCTCTAACAAATTTGGAATACTCCACCGAACAACATTTCGGATGACACCTCCACTGAACTGATCCCGGCACTCAAATTTCTGGAAGATCTGCCCAACCTACTCCATTATTACAGCAAGAATCAAAGCAAATCTCTTTAGCAATTGATTGACAAACACAAGCAACATAATTCACACTTTGTAACCACAGAGAACTAAACCTGATCCTAGAACATGAAAACCCTCCTAACAAGAATTGAACAAAATGTAAACAACTTAATGCATTCTATAATCAAGGGCAAAGGAAAACTATGACAGAATTTCCAGAGTTGGTACCTGAAAAAAGGGAAGCCTTGCAGCAGCTTCCAGAAGAATGAGAACATCAGGGGCCGACGTGTATTGCAGGCGCCATGTTCCATCCAGCACTACCAGGTCAATTGGTGCCCCCATGTTGTATCCCTCAACGCTGACCTACAAAATTTGACAACCCAAGAGGAAAATACTATAACATTAAGAAAAAAAAAATCATCTTTACTTCAAAATTTACTCTCTATTTTCCAAACTGTGGGGAAGCAGACCAGACCAGAGCCTCCTCAATAATTGAGCGTTGATCAGCAGTTGCAACAAGGCCCCGTTGTGTCTCCTGAACAGCCAGGAGAAGATCATGTTTTTTATTCTCCAACTCAACCTCAGACACCTGAAACCCAAAAAAGCACATCCCATTACCACCCAAAAAAGAAAGTCATAATAAAGGTAAGTTGCGAAAGGATGCTAACCCGATTCCCGTCTGGAGCAACAGCAACTGAACATAGAAACTTGTTGTGAAAAGACCGTTTCTTGGTGGTAACGAGTTTTGAGCGGAGAGGTTTTGTCTCTCTCTCATGGATGGCTCTCTTCCCAGTTCCCGGATACACTGAAGCAGCAAATGCTAATTCCATAACGGTTCACAGATTGGTAACAATGGGGATTATGATTTTTCTCAAATATGACAGTTAATAACTGAAGAAATTGGATTAAGTCAAAGGAAGCAAAGGACTTTGGGTTTGCTTTATTGTTCACAGCCTTAATTGTTACTTGTTTTGGTATAGGCTAATTAGAGCTTAGAGCTACGAGCTACCACTTCTTCGGTTATCCATTTCCCTCTATTTTCGATCGTTTTGCGCTGCGGGACCCATGGGAGCTCTATTTTTAGAATATTTTATTTGGACCTTTTTTAACCCGCCGAAGTAACCCGACGCGAGCCATGACAAAGGCGCCGCTGCAACTCGATCACTTCCCGCTAATAATATTCTGCATTCAGCTCTTCCCTTATCTCTTCCCCAAATGGCCACCAGCTTTGCAATTAGTCGATGCTCTGCCTCAGCCTATCAACGCGCCGTAGTCTATCTAAGTAGACCGCAACAACTCCATACCTTATCTTCTCTAACTGCCAAATCCAGGTTCTTAAAGTTGAATAATCTCACGAGAAATTGCTCGTCTTCATCAAACGCACCATTTATCGTAGCGGACGATGAGAAATACGGTAACAAGCAAGTCATCAGCATCACTCCTCGGCTTTACGATTATATCCTCTCCAATGTTCGCGAGCCTCAGGTACTTATCAAAAATTCCAACTTTAAAAAAAAAAACAATTTTGCCCTAATTTTTTTGTTTACTCTGTTCCAGATTCTCCGACAGTTACGCGAAGAAACCGCCAATATGCGCGGTAGTCAAATGCAGGTACCAAATTATCAATCACGCAATTTTCATATTCCTTTTGAGCAAAACAGGTGGTAATTTTTTGTTTTTTGTTTTCTTTTTTTCTTTAATTTTATAAGGTGTCTCCTGATCAAGCACAGTTACTAGCGATGCTAGTGCAGATTCTGGGGGCTGAAAGATGCATCGAAATCGGTGTTTATACTGTAAGTTTATGCACTCTTCTAAGCTAAGTTGTTGGAACTATTCCCTTTCTTGTTGAAGGTAGATGAATTCCAGTAAAGAGAATTCGTGTTGTTTTTTCCCTTAGGGATACTCTTCATTGGCTATTGCATTGGCTCTACCAGAATCAGGCTGTTTAGTTGCCTGTGAAAGGGATGCTAGATCTCTTGAGGTTGCAAAAAAGTATTATGAGCTAGCCGGTGTTTCACAGAAGGTAAGGGTATATTATGTGATAAACATCTCTTCCCCTTTTGAAACAGTATTACTAGTATTTTGAGTTTTCATTTTCCGCAGTCTTGATTTCGACAATGGTGTAATAATGTAATAAACTATCCTACATGTTTGTGCTGGTCATACTTGTTTCAATGGTATCTATATAGAGCTAAGTTGTTTGTTGGTGTTAGGTAATTGTGAAACACGGATTAGCTGCAGATGCTTTGAAATCTATGATTCTGAATGGTGAGGCTTGCAGGTGAATTTAGTATGCAACATTTAAACTCTGGTGCATTTGTTTCCATCCATATTTTCTTAGTGCAAATGAAGGATAGTTTGTCATTCTTCGCATGCTTTGCTTATTTTCTTAATTTAGCAGGATGTCAATGAAAATTGTCTCTTTTAACAATTTCTAAGGTTCAGATGAATACAACGACTCACAGGTTTCCTTTTAAAGCAGCTATGATTTTGCATTTGTTGATGCTGAAAAGAGGATGAATCAAGAATATTTTGAACTGCTACTACAGTTGGTAATACCAAAATAGAATTTCAAGCTTTCATTGTTTTGTTAAATACTTTAACTCACTTCTTTGCCAGCAAAGTTTAGGTTATAGTTGGTCTTGTTTTACAGGTTAGGGTTGGGGGACTCATCGTGGTTGATAATGTCCTTTGGCATGGAAAAGTTGCTGACCTATTGGTAAATTGTTTGTGTATTATTCATGCGATCTGCCCATTGCAAATAAAGTTTATTTTCTAATGATCTTTTTATATCAGGTAAATGATGCGAAGACTGTAAGCATTAGGAATTTCAATAGAAATGTAATGGAGGACAAGCGTGTAAGCAGCAGTATGGTGAGTAGTTGCATTATCTGCTCATTTTAAACAAATTCTGTATGGAATTTATTCAGTTTGACAATAACCCTGCACTTTTTGGAACATTAGGTACCTATTGGAGATGGAATGACAATCTGCCAAAAACGATGATCTATGTCATACTTACTGCTTGACTTGTTGGTTTATTCCTCGGAAGTCAAAACCATGGTTCATGTTTGTGCAACTGGCTCCATTGTGGCATCCTTCGGAAAAGGCACTCATATTTTAAAATGGTCACGGAGTTAATTTACTTGACAGGTGACTAGTGGGTTGATTGAAGGTCAGATCCTTAAACCAGTGCGACCATCAGCAGGCCTGCCACATCCTTTGAAATTCATTCAGACAGGTAAAATGCTGGCCATCGATATACGCTTGTTAGATGAATTCTGTTTCCCCTGAAAAGCAAGGTAGGGGTTGGGGATCATCCTGATGTACATTTGCCCCCTTGTTTTGTAGTAACAACCAATAAAACAGAGCTAGAAATTACTTGAGACTGCTTTTCTATTTTTGAATGAAACACGTATACATTACAGGTTTCCTAGTTTTGTATAATATTCTTTCTTAGCATTTCTATTTTTATCTTCGGCAGAATGATCTTCCAGCAGTTGTTTCTTCCCCCTTTTAGATCTCTGCATCCAACAGGAATCAAGTTAAGAAAGCTGTTTGTTTGCATCTAGGGGTCCAACTATGCCATTGTGACGGTGCTTATTGCATGGTTTAAGGCCACAAAACAAAAAGGCTGTCCGCCAAAATTTCTCCATTTGGATCAACCCTCAGCAGTCATCGCCCTGTACTTATTCAGAATACTGGGTTATGAATTTTATTTGAAAGTAGCGTTACATGGATGCCAGAGTACCCCTTGATGATGCAAAATCGTTGTTTGGTGGAAAAAGACGTCAACTTTTCTCTGCTGGGAGCAGCTTTCATTCAACGTTATTATTTTGGAACCATCGGAAATTTGAATTCCGTTCAAAGATGTCCTCTCTGCTACGTTGGTCAATAGGCCCCTTCTGTCAATTTTGTCACTCTCATCTGTTTAATGTTTCCATCTCTCGGTGGAGAAATTATGGTTTACTGTTTTCGTTTACCCTGTTTTTTGTCTATCGACGTATTAAACATAGTTTAGTTCAGCATGCGCATTCCTCAAGGAGAGATAACACTGCTAATAAAAGGACAAGAAATCACCGTTCCTTGTAGAAATCATCCTTGGAAGACACATGCAGGGGTATTTTGTACCCATCTAATTTGTCTTTCTACCTAAATTATTCAGAGCTTATTACAGAACTAAGTATTCTGAACAGCTGCTCCTCGACAAAACAAAGTGAATAGGTAAATGTTCTGGATCATTAACTTAGCATGACCATAAGCTGGCATGGCAGCTGATGTGTTCTGGATAAAGTATTTACGAAATATTCAAAGGCGAAAACCAAGAAAAATAAAATAAAAGGGGTGGAAAGGTGAGCCTGCGTTGTTACTAACGGAAAGACAATGAGAACAATAGGAGATCCATCCAAAACTCCCCACGCAGAAACCAATGTTATATTCCTCAATGAAGACACATGCTTTTCTTCTATATAAGATTCTTCCTTCGTTATCGGTAGAATCGAGTTTAAGTAACCGAATCAACCATGGGATTCCCAGGAGATGAGGAAGCGGCAGCCAAAGTACCTGTGAGATCTTCACTTTTCAGGTACAACTCACCCTTGGTCCAGGTCAGTTTAATAGGTCTAGTATGTTTCTGCTGTCCTGGCATGTTCAATGCCCTTTCTGGCATGGGAGGTGGTGGCCAGGTTGACCCTACGGCAGCAAATAACGCCAACACAGCTCTGTACACCACCTTTTCCGTCTTTGGAATCCTTGGTGGTGGCATCTACAACATCGTTGGACCCAGGATTACCCTTGCCATGGGCTGCTCGACGTATGTCCTTTATGCCGGCTCTTTCCTTTACTACAATCACCATCACGACCAGACTTTTGTAATTATCGCCGGCAGTTTGCTTGGCGTCGGTGCAGGCCTTCTTTGGGCTGGACAAGGTGCCATCATGACGTCCTATCCCACCCCTGGCCGTAAAGGCACCTATATTTCTCTCTTCTGGACTATTTTTAATTTGGGTGGCGTTATTGGTGGACTCATTCCTTTCATCCTGAACTACCACCGTGAAAATTCCGAATCTGTCAATGACAAGACGTATATTACCTTCATGTGTTTCATGTCAGCTGGTAAGCTCATCTCATTTGCAATTTTATCCCCTGATCGTGTTGTCAGAGATGATGGTACTCGCTGCACCAACATCAAATATTCAAATGTTTGCACAGAGGCTTTTGAGATCGTTAAGCTCTTTCGTAATTGGAAGCTACGTCTCATCATCCCAGCTGCCTGGGCTAGCAACTTCTTCTACACCTACCAGTTCAATAACTTTAACGGTTTGAAGTTTAATCTGAGAACAAGAGGATTGAACAATGTCTTTTATTGGGGGGCTCAAATGATAGGTTCAGTTGGAATTGGATATGTTTTGGACTTCAGTTTCAAGAGCAGAAGAACAAGAGGTTTGGTTGGGATTGGAGTTGTTGCTGTGCTTGGGACTGCAATTTGGGGTGGTGGGCTTGCCAGCCAGTTAAATTATTCTTTTCACAAGCTTCCCGAGCGGTTGGACTTCAAAAACTCAGGAAACGATTTTGCTGGACCATTCGTATTATATTTTTGCTATGGATTATTGGATGCCATGTTTCAAAGTTTGGTTTATTGGGTGATTGGAGCATTAGCTGATGACTCAGAGACCCTCAGCAGGTAATTATTTTTTCCCCTTTCACCCCATAAAATTAAATAATCCATTTCGTGTATCTTTGATACTTTCTAGCTTCTAATGTCAATTGGAGGACATGGCTGTATATATGTAAAATCCATAAGCCCTTCAATTCACTTACAGATTGTCCACGTAAAACTTGCAGATATGCCGGTTTCTACAAAGGAGTGCAGAGTGCAGGAGCTGCAGTTGCCTGGCAAGTTGACAAACACAAGGTTCCCTTGCTCAACCAGCTGATTATCAATTGGGCTCTTACCACTTTGAGTTATCCATTGCTGGGGCTCCTTGTTTATTTGGCTGTAAATGATGAGAGTAAGTCTGCAGAGGATGCTGACACTGCTTCTGGACTGCCTCCCCCTGCTTCAATGAAAGATGGTTACATAGAAGTTGGCAAATCTACTCCTGCTGCAGAAAGGGATGCTTCTCAAGTACCTCGCAAGTCTACCTGACAAATTTTTTTATCCCCTTTCGAAGTTCTTGTTCATCTAGTGGAAATAAAAGTTCCAGAAGGTGAAATCTGAAATTAATGGAATTCTTCATACATCAAATGTTTCTATTATTCTATTCCTTGGTTTGTAGAATTGTTGTTCTAATCAGGTTGCGAACTACTTGATACCCCTATATTTTCATTTTTGTTGAGTATTGAGTCTTGGGTTTTAGTAGACAAGCTCAGAGATTGTAAAAGGAAATGTGCACATCAGCATCCTGTTCATGACATCTAATTGTCTAATCCTAGCTCTTCATCTTCAGAGATAAAATACAAGGGTTCCTGGTCACTCGGTTCAACAAATTGAAATCTGCACACTAAATAGCTAGAAATGCTTGTAGCCAATCCTCAACAATCCCAATAATTCAAAATATCGATCAGTAAAAAGAATTAAGTCCACAAATCTTCTGAATGCTAAATTTGACTCCCCAGATGGATCCGCTGGATGGTGGTCGACAGTATCAATAATTTTGCAATGCTTGTGTGTTCTACTACCATGATGAACAAATTCTTTTCCAAAATGGTTGAACTGCTATGTTTATAGGCTATGTAAAAGCGATGAATCAGTTTTTACAGGATGCTTCAAAAATGTCCACAAAATTGACAAGACAACTAACAGAGTTGGCTTTGATTCCCCACAAAAATCTTTGTACACGCAAGAACCTCTTCCTGGCTGAACAGTAGAAAAATTGACTTCTACACATGGAACTGATATATGCGTCAGAGACTTTATTGAAAACTGAATTATTTTGCCTAAGAGCTTTCTGTCAACCCTTAATATATAGCAACTCAGTGGTCTTCATCGTCTTGACCTTGCCCATTAACTTGGTTTTCATCAACTATGCCATCTCCCGCATCTCCATAATTAACCCACGGTAGCAACGACTCAAACAGGACGGCTAATGGATTGCGATTTGAAACATCACGTGGTGCAGGAGCATGACCGCCAGCAGGTGGATTGGCAACCTGACCCCCAATCTGTGCAGCTTCCCTCATGTCAACCATAAAGTTTTGCAGATTATCAGGCGGAAGAGTTTGCGCTGTGTCAGAGAACTCCTGAACCAACAAATGACCATACCTGACCACAGGGTGAAAAAATTGTCACACAAAACTCCAATTTATGCGATAAGCTCATCTAATCTAATTAAGCTAGCAAATCACAATGAAAGTGCTGCGTGTATATTTAAGAGCAGCTTTATCTATATTCAGCCCCAACACTAATTTAGCAGACCCTAAGTTGGAGACAGCAAATAGATGGATTTAGTGCTTAAAATGTAACAAATAAACATGAATATTGCAGTCAAATCAAAGACGAAGGAAATGTAGTAAAGAACAAACAAAGCAACAATACAATTTATATCCTGATACTTACTCGTTTTTGTCAGATGAGAATGCTTCTTTCCTCACACAAGCCCAATCTTTAGCATCACTTTTATTATGTCCCAGTGTTTCAATAACAAGGAGGGCACCATTTCGAAGTAACTTTTGCAGATCAGGAAGCCTCCATATTAGATAATTTCTTTCCACATAAATATTAATCAGGTGATCCAGAGATGGGATCCCTATTTGATCTGAATTGAAAAAGGAATTTTTGAGTATGTTTGTCCATGCCTGGTCTTTTAAAGGAACCTTGGCTACTAGTTTCTTAAGGACCGATGGATGAAGCATCAAAGCCTGATTCATAAGATCAGCTGAAGAAGCCTTTGAGGCATCCACAAAAGTATTATGGGAGGATTCCTCTTGCTCAAGATAAAATCGGCAAACAGCAAGGGAGTATGAAAAATTCGGGAACAACCATAAGGAGCTATCACTTCTATAGTCTTCAGAGAACTGTTCCAACCATGCATACTCCCCTGCTCTCAAAGCAAAGTAGTCAAGACAGAACATAGCTCCCATTGGGTCATCTGAATCAAGTGCAAGCAACAATTTACAAACTTCTAGAGCAGATCGATGACAGCCCCGCCTATCCATGTTTTTCATGTGCGTGAAAAGAGCTTTGAATATTGGCTTGTTCCTGTCATGACTGAACTTCAATTGGCAATTACCCTGCAAGGGAGTGAACATAGGATGCCACGCACATTCCAAGGCATATAAACACTTTGCAATAGCATCTGCAGACATCTGATGCTCACCCACAAATTTAAAATAATCTGCCATGGTTATAAGAGAATCTAAGTGATAAGGATGATACAACAGAACACTAGCTACGCCATTCAGGTCATGAATAGCTTGAGCAGCTTCAAATGCTCTTTGAGCTTGATCATAGGAAGACGAGTGTGCATATCTACAAGACATGAACAAAACCACGAAGTTAGGACACAGTAAACAAACTAAGACCAAAAATATGGGAACTGCACTTGATTTGATACTTTTTGAATCTTTCTGTCTCTAGATCAATGAAGCTAGGCAGAAGGTCACCTAGAAATCGGTAAATCATCACTTTTGCATGATGAAAATATGCTCTGGTTCCCATATTGCATTTCAATAACTGTGAAAATGTTCACCAAAGCACTGCCTAGTTTTAATTTTTTTTGTACATCTAAACTCATCTAAATGTTGCAAAAGCATGTAAAATTTTCACTCAACTCAGGAAACTGCGGAAAAGAAATAGATTCCTATTTCATATATGCGAAAAGCTATCTACATTCTATTTCTCAAGTTGGTAACATACACTCAAACTGGGTGAGAAAAAAACAAAAATGGAGAATAAGTTTTTAGCAATATCAGAGAGACTTAGCAAGATTTCTACCTGAAGTAATGATACCCATCCTTAGTTTCCAGAAATTCCATCGACAGGGATCCATCCCAGCGAGGCCAATGGTCTGATGGAGATATCATAACAGTCTTCCTAATATGATGGCTTCCCCGTCTTCCACCACGTACCTGTCTGGAAGTGCTGCTTTGATTGCTTTTCTCAAATGATTTGACCACCTTAGAACCAAATATTCTCCGCAGCTCATTTTCAACATTTAGATACTTAGGATCCACTTGTAGTATATACGGTGTATTCCGTTTAACTAAAACATCACAATCTTTAGCATTTTCTGATATGGGTTTATTAGAACCCGGCTGATGACCAGAAGAACAACCATCCAAAGATAAAGTATCTAAAGTCACATCCAAGAGCGTTTCATGTTTATCAATACTTGAAGAACCCTCTTTGCTTTTCTTTTTCTTCTTTTTCTTTGATTTGTTATTAGACCTCGAAACTACATAGGCAGTACCTCTCAATGAAGGTGGTTCTTCTTTTCTGGTCAAGGTTTCATCAGCAACTTCCGGTGAATCTATCTGCAGCCGAAACCCATATTACTCTCCAAAGGACATCACTTGATCAATATAATGTAACTAGCACACGATAAATTATTGTTTCCAATCAAAACTTTTATAATCAAAATTCGTTTCTTTAACAAATGCAAAGCCCAAAAAGCATCAGCTTGGAGCTTGAAATCTTGAAGTTAAAAGCCTTAGTGACAATCCTTGGAATAAATTAATAAAATTGAAAGCTAATTCCAAAGCAAAATAAGCTAAATCAAACGGCTATTCCTAGTTCAACGCGATGATCAATTAATCGAAAAAAAGGATAGTTATACAGGATAGGGTTAAGGAACTAAACCTGGTCAGGATTACCCTCGTCCTCGTCGTCACCTTCGTTGAGGAGGTCGAAGGGATTCGCTGAAGAACGAGCACCGGAATCCGGCGACTCTGATTCGTCGCCGTTTAGTTGCTCCTCTTCTTCAATTACGTGTTGTTTTTGTTGCTCTCGTTCTTTCAAAACTTTATTCAGCAATCTAGCCGACATCGTTCTTCCTTTTTCTCAGGCACGGCGGGCAAACTGCCGAGGTTTTGAGTTCTCGGATTCACTTGCTCTGTAGTTCAAGGACCACCGGGTTGGACTTTTTACGGTAATGCTCGTTTGCCATGCGGAAGATGATGGTAATCTGATTTATGGGCCGACCCGGATTTGCTGTGTATGGGCTAATTTCACTTTGGGTTTGAGGTGTTGCTTTTATTTTATTTTTGGTACAAAGAGGGCTAGAAAGCCTAATCCAATTTATCATAATCCAACAAACTTACTTAAAATAATAAATTATTAAAAATTTTAAAATTTTACATGCATTTTGTTTTTTTTTTATTATGGATGACTTAATTTCCTAAAACAAAAGTTAATGGACCGAGAATAACATTGTTATGCTTTTTTTAAAAAAAAAATTAACATTGTTAAGGCTAGTTTCGACAAAATATTTTAACATAATATTCAAATAAGTCTTTAAATTATTTAAAATTTTTTAAATAATTTTTATTATTTTATTTCATTTAATTAAGCACATATATTATTATTTTAAATCAAATAAACTTTTATAATTAATAATTAACTAATTATTATTAGTTAAAATATCACTTATTATTTTATATTTACTTGACATTAATGTGAAATGTAACAAATATCACATTATTTTGTTATCATGTAAAATTAGCAATCATGTTATCATTAATTATAATATATTAACATGTTACATCATTAATAAGTATGATATATTAATATATTATGTCAGCATACGTGTTATAAAATAACAAATGATATTTTGATTAAGTCAATTTATTATTCATATAAGCTTATTTTACTTAAACTAAAAAAAAAATAGAAAAGATTATTTAACTTAAAAATAAAAGTATAAAGACTTATTGAATGCAAAAAAAGTAAACGACCTTATTTGATTTTTTTTTTAATATTTTAGAGACTTTTTTAGATTTTATACTAGATATTTTAAAATATTTTTAAAATTTTCAAAAGAATTCAAATAATTTTTTATTTTTTATGTTTAATTAAATAAGTTTTTATTATTAATGATTAACTAACAATCATTAATTAAAATATTACTTATTGTTTTTATATCAAATGACACTAACATCAAATGTGAAAATATCACGTAACCAAGTTATGATGCTACATAACATGTTACATTTTTATCTATACAAAATAACTAATATACCATCAAGGTCATGCGACATAAATAATAAGTGATGTTTTAACTAACAACAGTTAATCAAACATTAATTATAAAAGTTTGGCATAATATCTAAAAAGCCCCTAAACAATTAAGAAAAATTAAATACACCTTTATATTTTTATTATGTTCAATCAAGCTTTTATACTTTTATTTTAAACCAAATAAGCTATTGTACTTTTATTTTAAATCAAATAAATTTTTTATAACTAATTATTGACTTAGTCAAAATATCATCTGTCATTTTATACCACGTAGCATTAATATATTATATTAACATATTAAAATTAATAATGATATGTCATATTTATTTATTATAATGATAATAACGTGGTATGTTAATTTGAAATGATAATGTGATCATCTGATATTTTTCACCATAGTTAAAAATCTGTCAATACTATATGAATATAAAATAAGAAGTAACACTTTGACTAATGATAATTAATTAATCCTTAGTTATGAGAGATTATTTGATTTAAAATAAAAATATAAAAAATTGATTGAATTTAATAAAAAAATAAAAACTTATTTGAAAATTTTTAAAATAATTTAGTAGTTTTCTTTGAACATTATGTCTAAAAATTTTATTTGATTAAAAATAAAAATATAAAAAAATTTATTTAAATCTACTGAAATAATTTATGATTTTTTAAATATTATATATATTTTTAAAATTTTATTTTTTATCGAAAAAAATTTATCCATCCTAACCTAAATGATTGCTTTAGTACTATTTAGTTTGTTTTTCTCATACCAAGTATAGAGATGTTATAGATTTACTGCAGCAACTAAAACTTTGGGTTGGTAAAGCAACTTAACAAGTATTCACAGGCAGGGATAAAACATGTTTGTTGCAAATTTTGGCTTTAACCTCATTGAAATATGTGAAAATAAAATTTAAATTAAATTGTTGGGTAAAAGAAAAAAAATGGGAAAATTGTAATTTGCAAAGTTGAAAATAGGTCGGTCGGGTAAGCACAGTGGGCGGTGGGCGCAGGTTATGTAGCCTTGCAGGCCCGTGAAACAGCCATCTCTGCTGCTGGCGGAAAAAACAAACACTAATCCTCAAATTCGATAAGATAACTTTCCCAAACCCAAACGCAATCCCTCCTCCCTTTTATTTCTTGCAGCTTCCCACCGACTTGCCCACCAACAGCCACCACAAAAACCTCGCCAAAATCTGCCTTCCGTCTCTTTCTTTCTCACTCTCTTTCTCAAGTTGCAATAAGGAAGATAGGACGGTAAACCCACATTTCTCGTCAAATTCTTTCTCGTTGTTTCACTCTCTTTCGAAAGAAAACGGACCCATCTCATTTTTTTAGCTGCATTTAAAGATTGCTCAAGCATTTCGCCATGATATCAGCTTTTGTGGTTTAGGGTTTATTGCTTATATTGAAGGTTGTTGATTTTGTTTTCCTGTTCTTTTTATGCATTTTGCAGGAATGGGTACCGCTCTGCCTCGTGAGTGGCTCGGTCTTCAACAATTTCCCGCTGCTACTCAAACAAAATTGTTCGAGCTGTTGGGCAAATTGAAGCAAGAGGTTTTTGATAAACCCTTTTATCCTTTCTTTACATTGACTACTTTGACTTAATAGCATATTTACTCAAAATTGTTGAAAAAAATTGCAGAATGTCACCACTTTGACCATCCTTGTTATGGGCAAAGGTGGTGTAGGAAAGTCTTCTACTATCAATTCTCTTATTGGGGAGCAAGTTGTTCGAGTGACTGCTTTTCAGGTAGGTATTGGTTTTACTTTTTCCTTTGCTTTCTTGGATTGATTTGTTTATGCTGTTTTAGATGTCATAAGCTTGAATTGTGGTTGTATTTGTTTGTTTTTCAGTCAGAGGGGCTGAGACCCATCATGGTTTCACGCTCCTGGGCAGGGTTTACATTGAATGTAATTGATACACCAGGGCTTGTGGAGGCTGGATATGTCAATCACCAAGCTCTTGAGTTGATCAAAGGGTCAGTACTCGAATTAAGCAGTCTTAAGTTAGCATCATATTTGTTGTATGATGAATTTAGTTGTTAATTAAGTGACTTTCAATAAATTATAATAATATTTTCTTTTTAGGATTAGTTTACTACATGGTATGGTTCCTTTTTGTTCAGAACAAATCTTCTGGTTTTAATGCAGGTTTCTTTTGAATAAGACTATAGATGTTTTGCTTTATGTTGATCGCCTGGATGCGTATAGAGTGGATGACTTGGATAAGCAGATCATTAGGGCTATCACTAACAGTTTTGGCAAAGGAATATGGCGCAAAAGTTTGCTTGTGCTCACTCATGCGCAGCTTTGTCCACCTGATGGACTGAATTATGATGTTTTTTCTTCTAAAAGATCAGAGGGTGTGCTAAAGGCCATTCGTATGGGAGCTCGGATTAGGAAAAAGGATTTTGAGGTATGCATATTCTTTCAAGGTTATTTATTTTTGAGACATGTTAAATTGCATAAATAAAGGTGTTGAACAGCTTAACATAAAGAGATAAGCTTATTTGTTCTCATAAAAATTGCATGATGTGCCGACTAAAATGTCGTTTGCCACTTGTAAGTTGGCATGATAGAGAGTTTAGTATTGATTTTAATGATTCCATGCACTGGAGAGGCAATGGCTTCTTGGTAGTTATGTGAGAGCAGAAGAGCTGTGATTTCCTACTCGTAGGGTTTGCCTTAAGTTAAGGCTTTGCTTTTTTCACAAATGCCCAAACATGGACATAGTGATAGAAGTGGTTAAGCTCTTTTGAATTCTGATGCTAACAATTCATTCAGCTTCTACTTGTTGCAACGTCCCTTTGAAAGAAATTACTCATAGCATACCTTTTCCTCTTCATAGCTGATGCTGTTCTAATCTTCTTTCTTGCGTGGCTTCCTAATGTGAGAAAGCTTCTTTTAGGTGTTTTGTGCATTTTAGATCTTTGGTGCTAACTGTACACCATCTATATCAGCTACCCTTAGTCCATTATGCTAATAGCTAAGCATTCTATTGTATGTCATATGGCAACTTGATCGACCTCTTTTATCACTATTCAAAATTATTTGAATGAATTTAAATTGGGGAAAAAGATTTGGGGTAGATATTTTCTTTCAAATTGATCGGTTTGAGATATATTGGAAAGGTGTTGGACAGGATGACATGAAGAGATAAGTTTATCTGTCCCCTTAACCTTGTGTACTTTGCTTGCTATGCATGTGTTTTCTCATTTGTTAGTTGTAAGCTGTGGAAGTACGGAGTTGAGTTACGGTTTGGTTAATTGTTCCACAAACAAGAAAAAATTGGTGCTTGTTAGTTATGAGAGAGGAAGAGTAAGAGGTGTGGGTGGTTTTGATATTTGCTTTAAATATATAATTTACTCCTATCACAGCAGGGTCTTCGGAATGGAATTAGGTTTTTGGTTGGTAGGCAATTATCAGATAGGAGTTGTTACCATATATCTGAATGCGATTAGAATGCTGTGTGTGGTAGACAAAAGATCAATAGATGAGCTTACTTTTGTTTTTAAGGTCATTGAACTATAATTAACAACATATACTGAGCAGTGAGTTTCAAACTGCAATGGTGAAGGTATCTGTCTTGTATTTTGTCAAGATGAAGATTATCATTTTGTTTTTGTAAGTTTGTTTGGACGTTCCATATAAATTAAAACATCAGTTAAACTAATTCTATCTTTATATCAGTGGATACCACAAATTATGATTCATGATTTAAACTGGAGATGCACTGAGAAATGGGAAACAGAAGAGATATACGATACAAGTCCTGGATTAAATGGCTCTTCAAAAAATAAATAAAAAAAGTCCTGGATTAAATGCCTAGCTGCAGGTGACAATTTTGATGGTATACTTGTGTCTCATGAGAAGTTTGTATGGAAGCCACTCCTTTAAAATGACGGTGATCTGAGCTGTCACTTTATGTTATTAGTGAATACCACAATGGAGATTCATGCTTCAGGCATAAACAGTGGGGAAAGTTTTTCAGGGAAAAAAAATGAAAATTTAAGAGTTGAGAGGTGGTTTATAACTGGACTCCATTGTCTGCAAAGGATATGTTACTTGTAAATTTATCTTACTTAATTACTATTTCTTTTCTGATGATATGCTCAGATTGCTGTAATTACCTTTTTAGATATTTCCTTGCTCTTGATGATTGTAGGATTCTGCCATTCCTGTTGTTTTGGTTGAAAACAGTGGGAGGTGCAATAAAAATGACAGTGACGAAAAGGTTTGATCTTTTTTTCTTTTTCATCTTGTGCTCTCAATTTATGATCCTTCATATATTTGAGTGCCTTGATTCTCTGCAAAATACATGTTGTTTCAATACAGATTCTTCCCAATGGTGATGCTTGGATTGCGAACTTGGTAAAAGCCATCACAAGTGTTGCAACAAATAAGAGTAAAGCTATTGTAGTTAGCAAGAAGTTGGTAGATGGTTCTGATTCAAATGATAAGGGTAAAATGTGGATTCCTGTTATTCTTGGGCTTCAGGTAAAGTTTCTGCATTTTCTTGGTTTCTCTTTGTGCTGGACTGAAACATAAATGATTATATTCTAACGCGTATCTTTTGTTGTTCCAGTGGTTTATTCTCAAACGGATTCAAGGAGCAATAAAAAGGGATATTGCAACTGGCAATGGACCTTTATGAGAGCCACAAGAATGGGATCTGGCCTTCTGCAAGTTTCATTGGGTCTTGTTAAAGCCCTTCGTTTTTCTGTGCCATCCCTTTCTTTGGTAAAATTAAAAAGGAAATCCTCTGAAGGTTGCTTCTGAAAGTCAGGTTCATTTTGGTAGTTTGCTATGCGTATGCTTTGGCAGATCCAGTTAGTAGTGCTTGTTAGGATGGTGTATTGATGAGTTATTGTAGGATTGTCATGCTAGAAGGCGAAGGTCATGTTGTTCCTAACTTCATGTTTTCCCATCCTTTTCTTTCAGTTTTGTTTTTCTGAACTACCTATACTGATTTTCATTTCTGGGTGTGTTTGAATCTTTGAGAGGGAGCTTGGATCTTTTCCAGTATTTTTCGAACTAATAATCATTAATGCGTTAATGAATACTATATGGATGAGTGTAATTGAGAATGTTATTAGTTTAAAGGTATTGAAGTGATTCGGTCCCATGGAAGAGGTACAGTATGATGCTTCAAGCATTTGGCATGCTCAGCAGAATTCTCCTCCCCGTGCCCATGAACACTAAAAGTCGCCTATTTCACTGACCTCGCAAGCCAAGAGGAAAGCCGGTGGACCCTTTGTTGTTCTTTAAGCTTATTAAGTGTAACCAGCAGCAGCTATGGATAACTGTGAGGGCCCCGCCACCACAGGCGTGGTACCCGTACAATTAGCTGTTTCACTTTCCGGCTGCGTGGATTGCGGGGATTTTGCACAGGTTGAAGTTGGCAGGAGGGTTTTTTGGGTTGGGGACCGGAGGTTTGGAATTTTTATAGGCTGTGGAATCCATGTGAGTTGATTCCAACATATATGATTAAGCTCACCATTACAGGCTGCACCCATCATTGCATGCACTTCCAAGCACTGTTATACCAAGGGTTTTTTTTTTAATCTATTCCTTTAATCGATTTGGATGTTTTGTTACACGCCTCATGATCATTGGCAATCTAATATGTGGTCAAATTTAACTGCTACTGTCATTGAATTTGAACATTTAACCCAATGGACTGATATTGGAAGCGTTTTAAAAAGTTCAAAAAGTAATTGGATAGGAAATTGGAATGCATAGATAAATGTTTCAATACCACAATCTAACTTTAATTGAAGCCATTAAAGATGCTTGTTTACAGGCTGTAGACGAAAAAGGCTTGAGGTTTTTTTTTCCCCTTTTATCGGTTAACAAGCTCTGTTACAAAATATTCAACTCCTGCCTTTATTTTTGCAATTCTGCTCAAAGATCAAATCAGTCCAGGCAAATGTTTTTCCTTTTTCCTTTTACTAGAGTTCTTTCTTTTAACGTGAAAATGCATGATTTATTATTCAATCGAGTGCTCAAGTACTGTTTTAATTTAATTCCTCTTTAGGGAGAAACATAGAGGGTAATGGTTTGCCTAAAGCTAAATCGATCAAATGATTAGGGATGTATTTATATTTCATAATGCAACACCGAACCGAACTGGCACTTAACAAAGGGTAGGCCCGAAATCATAATTAGAAACCTTCGGTGATTGGACATGGGTTGACCCCCTGGGATCCCATGCGCCACCCTCCATGCTCAAAAGGAAAATCACGCTAATCATTGCTCATCATTTGGACTTCTCTTTTGCTTTGTGCCCAGTCCTACAAACCAAAAAATTAAGGTACTTGTTACTATAAAAGTCGCGCCTCTTTTGCTCCTCTCCGACCAACGCCTCATAGTCCCAGAACGGAACAAAACAACATGGGCAAAAGCAACTTGAAAAATGCTGTTGTAGCATTTCTTGTTCCTCTCCCTTCAATTCTCTTCTATCTTCATTTCCTTAGCCATTTCCAGAGCGATAGAAATTCTCTTTCTCCACTCTGGTCATGGTGCTTTCACCACCCTCTCCTTTTAGCCAATGCCCTCTTTTTCTTCAATGTCAATGTCCTCTTCTGGCTCATCAGTCACATTCAATCCAGCCACTGGGTCAGTCTTTCTATTACTAGTATTCTTTTTTTTTTTTCAAGGTTTTTTTATTCATATTCCCCCTTTTTTTAAATGTGGTTTTGGTGTTTTGGTTGGTTTCAGATGATTGATTTGTATTGGACAGTGATACCGGTGTTGCTGCTTCATCACTATGCAACACACCCTTTGGCGCAATTTGAGTGGTGGAGATCAAAGATTGTGATAGTGTTGACCTGGGTTTGGAGTATTAGGCTGAACCATAACTATTTCAGGCGTGAAAAATGGCAGTGGGGTGCCAAAGAAGACTGGAGGTTTACTGATATGCGTCAACAGTATGGCAAGCATTGGTGGTGGATTTCCTTCTTCGCTGTCTACTTTTCTCAACAGGTGATTTTTCAAAGATTTTTGTTTTATCAATTTTGCATCTTTCTGGAAATTGACCATTTTTCATTAATGCGGAAATTCTGTTGGATAAAGCGCCTGAATGACCTTTTGTAGAATGCTAAGCGGGTCTTTTTTATAATTAATAAAGTAGGTGGATTTTCCTTTTCTAAGAACAGATGAAAATTTTGAAAGAAAGAGGAGCTTTGATAAAGCTTCATTTGTAGCGTTTTACACTAAGCAAAGAGCAAATATTAAAAGCAACTATCAACAGTACCTAAATTAATAAAAATGCTGATGAGAGAGCATGAACTAATGGGTAATTAAAGTCTGCAGGTTTTTTTGATTGGAATATGTCTTCCACTGTATGTTGTGCACTCGGTTGATATGCCCTTGAATATCTGGGATTTTGTTGCTGCTGGAGTTTGTTTGTGTGGCATTGTCATAGCGTACTTTGCAGATACCCAACTGCATAATTTTGTGACTAGAAATAGCAAGCTGAAAGAGCTTGGAAAGCCTATGGTCCCTAATCTCGACCGGGGCTTGTGGCAGTACTCGCGTCATCCAAACTATTTTGGGGAGCAATTGTGGTGGTGGGGGCTGGTTATTTTTGCATGGAACCTGGGACATGGATGGACCTTTGTCGGGTCTTTGATCAATAGTATGTGCTTGACTTATGTTACTGTGCTTGTGGAGCAGCGGATGTTGAAGAAAGAGTACAGAGCTGAAGCATACAGACTATATCAGAAGACAACCTCAGCGTGTGTACCTTGGTTCAGATCTTCTGCTATAGCAGTGAAAAATAAGGATACTTGATCTGATATTTGCTTCACTGCCAACTCTGAAAGTTTCATTTTATGTGGGTCAAAGCTATACTTTGATTTCCTGTCTTGCTGTAGCACTGCTGATGTAATCTGTTGTCCATTTGAGAGAAAAAAATGGTTGTTCTCTGTGGTAGACTGGTAGTCAAAGGGATCACTTTGTGAAATCATGTAAATTCTTTCTTCATTTGCTATAAAACTCTTTTTATTGTCTGATTTTCACATATATTTACAATATGTAGATCTGAGGTCATATCAGGTATGGTTATCAGAGTGCAAGTCTAGATTAGAAGTCTCCTTACGGACGAAAAATCTTAAAGCAAGCTTGTGGTTGCATGGATGGCCAAAGCAGATATTTGGCTATATAGAGATTTAAGCTGGTGTTTAGATAGCTGTTTAGGATGCTCATGAAAAACTATTCTAACTTCAGACCAAATATAGCGATGTCTCTGTGTCTCTCTGTTTAGACGTCAGTCATCTTGTTTGCTTCTGCACTTTTTCAGGCCAGAAAAAGCATTGGCATCCTTGATAGAAAAAGTGATTGATTATGGGTATTATATTGCTGTTGTTCCAAAACTTGAAGAAGTTAAAATTTGGCATCCTATGTCCCATTTTATCAATGAGTTTATGGAGTAATATTCCTACCAGAAAACAATTAGCTAAAAGAACAAATGCTTGATTTTCATGATCTACATGTAAGTTGTAACAAGAGAAGTCATGTTACACGTTTTCATTTTTTCTCTCTGGGTGTTGCAGCACCTGATGTCTGCAAAGAATTGCAGGTCATAACAGATCATCTCACGAGTATATCATGCATAACTAGGAATCATTTGCAGATCACCTAGTCTGTATATTGCAAACAAATCAAACTTGTTTTGTTACTAGAGGTCTATTACTATTTGAACACTTGATGAGGTCAGCAGGAGTTGGGACTAAGGAGTAGTTATTTTTTCTTGAAAATTAGCTTTTATTTTTAAATATTTTAGCCCTGGATTCATTGCTGACACTGTTCTCACTTGGCAGCAGCAAGTGCTTAATTCCTGTTGGTTCTTGTTAATTATGGAGTGAGCATGTGCAGGTGTTTCTATCCTTCAAATTTCATGGGAATGGTCTTTCCCCTAGCACTATAATATTCCTGCTCCATGACATCTGCTTCCTTGGTTGATGAACCATCATTATCAGTCCATTTTGATTAAATCCATGGCACAGACTCTGATCAACTGGACACTCCCCACCTTGAGGATCGATGTTCAAGGACTTCATGTAGGCTCATAGCTTAGTGAATCACATTTTGTTTGGCACGGTTGTGCAATGACCCAAACATAGGTGACTTATTAATGATTACATGAGGTTAGCTTTCCTTTGCTATTCTGCTCAAAGTCTAAACCTTTCCAGCTATTGTTGCGGAGCTGATTTAGCTACGCATTGGATCTTTCCCTTGAATTACTAGTTTTGTACCCCTCTTATCAGCTTGCACCAGTGATTCCAAATGTCATAAGAGTGATATCTCTGTTTCTCTTTTCATATTGTTCTTACTCTTGAAAATAGAATTTAGACTACGGAAAAAAATATAAAAATCCCATCAATGTATGTGATATGGGGGTTGGAATCTATTAAGATGCAAATTGGCCTACTGGCAGGGAATTCAATGGATGGAAATATTGTTCTTAAGCATTTTTGGCTGCCCTGGAACTCAGGTCGTATACTCTGACGCAATCCTGGTGGATCGTGACTTTGAAAGAATTACGATCTCAAAATATTTACATTCACGTGTTCACACTCTCCTGAATGACTAATCCCTGGCTTGTAATAGGTTATGAGTTTGCTCGGTTGTCAGCTTGCTTAGTTATCGATCTGATCACTGTACTTCACAAGGGAATCAAGCTAATCTCATCAAGTGTATATCCAGGCCCAACTCAAGCGGTGGGGGTTCCTAAAAATGAGAATGTTTAATCACTGACAAGTGATACACGATTCAAAGATAAAGGACGAAAAAGTTGTCCCAAAATAGATTTAAAGATTTAGACAAGAGAAGAAAGAATTTGTTAAGATCTTATTTAGTGTTGAATAGATTAACAAAGGACGAAAATGACGCACGCAGTGACTTTATAGCTCGTGTTCTTATCATATGTTAACACAGTGCAAACTTCATGGCGTAAACAGTTGCAGAACAAATCAACTGCGAATTAATACATAAACCCGTGTCCATTAATATAACTATCAAAGGGTGGACTGCCACTGCCAGAAATTTCATGTTTGCTTAGCTAGCATTAACATACATACAAGCTAGCAAAATACTACACTATTATATGTAATTAACTCCCCAAGTGGCAGCAGCCGCACGTGCAACGTATATCCAGATTCTGACAACTATCAACAAGGAGACCGTCTTGCTCTGCAGATTCTGGGCTTTTAAATTCAACAACTGAAGCGTTCCACCAGTTGGAGATTGGGCAAACATGTGGTTTAATCTAACCAAATTGAAATCTCAAATGAATGGGGGGTTTCAATATGTTGGGTTTGTTGGGAATAATTAAATCTATTCAGGCAGCGATGCAGATATTTGTACAGAAAAAAATATATTACTTTGATCAATCAACTGAGGAAGACATGAACTAAGACTCGTACTCATCTGGTCGTTCTGTTCTTCATAAACCGACTACACTGATATTGTCTTGGAAATGTAATCTTGATAACGTTAGAAGATGTTTGTCATCTTCAGCCAGCTCAGATGATTTGACAAATGTCTCAATTACATTAATATAAAGCCAAGTTTATATTTACTATGTATGCTTATAGAGTAATTTTGACACCATTAATGTAAAATAAGTACTGCATTAAACCTACTAAATGTTTATTAGAACCCGGAAGGTATTAACTTATACATGGTGCAACAAACAGAAATTGAAAACTCAAGAACGATTCAAACTCAAGGTTAAACCAATCACTGCATGTTTCATTTGTTGAATTGTCTCGTTTTTACACCTAAAAATAAATAAGAAAATAGTGACAATTATATTAGAAATTAACATACACTAGTCCATTGCAAAAGCTGCTGACAGAAGCGTTGAATTAATTGCAATGAGTGTGGCCGTCGATGGTAGGAACAAAATTACTCCCGCATTCATTGTGTAGTAGTACCATTTCCTGAACCTCACCCACATGCTGAGTTTCATCTCCTTTTTCTCCCTTTCATAGTGCTTATAATAGAGGAAGGAAGATGAGTATTTGGGCTACTTTTATTAACTTTTTCATCAGAGAAAATAATACTTGTACAAGTGTAACATAACAATAAATTGATTAAGTAAAAGATGTAAGAACTGTTTCTGATAGTTTGGAAATCTAAATTAGTAATTTGCAGCCTAAAAAGCTTAAGTAAAATGGACAAATGATATATAATTCAAATATAGTAAGTGCTCTGAAAAAGATTGAAAAATACCGTGAAGTGTGAGCTGTCTTTAAATAGTAAAAACCCATCGTTTTCTGGGGTATCAGCCAAAGACTTATACGCACGGAATATACTCGTTGCCCGCTACGAGAAAGCAAGAAATTTAAAGTTGAGTTGACTGCAAAGATAAGCGCTCGCGTGACTGTGATCCTCTCGTTTGTTTTGTTATTAAGTTTGAGTGTAGAGTCTCATAGACTTAAAACCCAACGAGAGGAGAACACTCAAAAACTGTAAACCCAGAAAAAGAAAAAGAAAAACAATGGCACAAGCATCTTCAGCTGTTAGCATCAACAGAAGGAAACGTTTCGTCTCACTTCCTTTTCGTGGGTTTGTTGTTACTTTGGCTGTGATTCTGCTCCGTTTTGTACCCATCAACGTCTCGGCTGCTGCCAGGCGACAACCTCCGCAGCAACAGCTACCTCAGAAGCTGAGGTTTGGTCGGAATGGGGAGTTTAAGATACTACAAGTGGCGGACATGCACTATGCAGATGGGAAAACAACGCCGTGCTTGGATGTGTTGCCTCACCAGGTTCATGGTTGCTCTGACCTCAACACCAGCGCTTTTATCCAGCGAATGATCCAAGCTGAGAAACCCAATTTTATCGTTTTCACTGGTAATCTAATAGACCCTTTTCGTTTTATTTGAAGAAAGTAAGTTTATTTGTAGAAAAATATTTACTTTATAAGATGAAAATGTGAAAATGCAATCTTCAACTCTTGTAATTAGTTAGTATTATGGGTATAGAAAGCACCCTTTTTATCCATCTAATAATCCTCCTGCTTTTATTTTCTCGTAAAAAAATTTTTGAGGGAGTGGGAAGTTGGTGACTTCAATGAATTTTTAAAAGGGCGTTGACCAGAACTCTGAGTTCTGATTGTTTAACGTCATAGTTTTTCTTTTCTATCTTTTAATACCATAGCGTAATTATTCAGGTTAGCTTTGACTGGTACCATTCGCTATGAATTTTTAGTGATAGCAATCTTTTCTAAGTACGCCTATTGAGAATCCTAGTTCACCGATGCAAGTGTTTTGTCTGTTTATTAGGTGATAACATTTTTGGATTTGATGCCACGGATTCAACAAAATCTTTGAATGCAGCATTTGCCCCTGCAATTGCTGCAGGAATTCCATGGGCTGCTGTTTTGGGGAACCATGACCAGGAAGGCACCTTATCAAGGGAAGGGGTCATGAAACACATAGTTGGATTGAAGCATACTATGTCTCAATTCAATCCTTCTGAAGCACATATAATTGATGGTTTTGGCAACTATAACCTGGAGGTTGGTGGAGTTGAAGGGTCAGGTTTTGCAAACAAATCAGTTCTCAATCTCTACTTCCTTGACAGTGGAGATTACTCCACAGTTCCAGGCATCCCAGGCTATGGTTGGATTAAACCCTCTCAGCAGCTGTGGTTTCAGCGCACTTCTGCAAAGCTTCAGGTATGAACCTCATTGGACAACATTTGAATTTCATTTCTTTGCTAAATACTAGGCATGCCTGTATGAAGTTGCTCTATTGACCTGTGGCCTTATGTCTTTCTTGTTCTGACAAAATGGATGTCTTCTTTGTATTGCAGAGAGCCTACATGAGCCCACCTAATGTTCAGAAATCATCTGCACCTGGACTTGTGTATTTTCACATCCCGCTGCCTGAATTTGCTAGTTTTGACTCTTCTAACTTCACTGGGGTGAGACAAGAAGGTATTAGTTCTGCTTCTGTGAACTCGGGCTTCTTCACAACCATTGTAGAAGCAGGGGACGCGAAGGCTGTTTTTACCGGACATGATCACCTCAACGACTTCTGTGGTCAATTGATGGGTATTCAACTATGTTATGCTGGGGGTTTTGGATACCATGCCTATGGAAAAGCTGGATGGTCCAGGAGAGCTAGGCTGGTGGTAGCATCTCTAGAGAAGACAGAGAAAGGAGGTTGGGGTGCTGTCAAGTCAATAAAGACATGGAAGCGCCTTGATGATCAACATCTCACTGCCATTGATGGTCATGTCCTCTGGAGCAAGAATTCTGCTGGTAAAGACAGGTTACTCTGATCACTATTTCCCACAATGGATTAAACTTGCCCTAAGTATAAAGGTAGGCAGCCATTTAGGACCATCTACATGGAGGGTTTGAAATTTTTATGACTCTGCATCTAGACATTAGCCACCTAACAGGACTTTGATCCGAACTTGCTTGGTAGCTGTTCCTTTTTCCCCTGTGTGCTCAGAGGGAAAAGTTAATTTATTTTTTCCTTAAAATAAGTTCTAAATATTTGATGGATCGCATGCTATTTAATCTTGACAGTTTTCTTTAAGATAATGTATCCTATATTATTCTTGAATACTGACCATATCGGCAAAAGTTCAGGGTAGTTCATCAAATGTTGGGATATGTCATAGCCTTGCATGTTGTTGATGTCATGTGAAACATGAGCTCCATTTATATCCTAAGCAGCAGTGGTGGCGAAATGACTGATGCACATTGTTTTGAAATCGAATTTGTTTGTGCTTATGGAATAAATTCACACGATGTTAGGTGCATTAGACGAATTTGTGGGGAGTTGAAGCGTCCATCATCTTGATTCCAATATGTGCTTTAGCTCCTTCTGTCTCTCTCTGTCTCATGACTTATTTTTTATGTCATTGGGTGCATCTGATATCTATGTTAAACCCATCTCAAGTGCATCACAATTTCACAATGCTTCAATTCTGCTCTAAAACATGACACAGACCGCCAACTATCAAGACAAGGTTGCGGGGTTTACTCACATTTGGTTTGGCATTGGACAGGTACTCGTAGAAAGAAACATATCCTTGGCCATGCTTGACTTGAGCAATGGACAGCTGAGAAGTATTATTATTATATGATTATTATTAATCTCAATCGGTAAGCAACAACTGGACAGTGAGGATGTAGCTCGTGAAGATGGTACAAGACTTTGAAGGCTGTGCTGTCAACTGCTGGTGTCTAATAATTCTATGGAAATGTAACCGTATACCTGTGATCGTACCATGGCTGAAGGTATTTTTCTTTTTTTTTTTTCCTTTTGATACAACATAAATGGTTTCATAATAGCTGATGAGAGAAATGGAAATCTATGGTAGAGTGAAATATCAATTATTATTATTTTGATAAAATGCTTTCAAGTCTTTAGGTCCCGTTTCGTATTGAAAAAATTAAGAACTTTCTGGGAATTAAATGGGGAAGATGACTTTTCCAAGGGAATGACATTACCACCCCACCAGCCCGAGGAGAAGTTTGGTATGGTCCTTTAATGGGCAGGTAACTAAATCTATTCGCTCAGTAATGCAGATATTTATACAAAAAAGACAAAAGATAATTATAATAGTTTCATCAACCAACAGCAGGAATACATGGACTGATGCTCATTTGGTCTTTCTGTTGTACATAAACCGACTACACTGATAGTTTCTTGAGAAGGTAAGAAAATAGTGAAAATTATAGTAGAAACTAAAACTTGGACTGCACTTTTACTGATTTGATTGAGATACAACTGCACTAAAAGGCACAAGTGCTGAATTGATTACAACGAGTGTGGCCGTAGGTGGTTGGAGCAAAATTACTGCTGCATTCATTGTGTAGTAGTACCGTTAAGCCCACCACCCCGCATGCCGAGTTTCATTTCATCTCCCTTTTCTCCTTTCACAGTGTTCATAAAAGAGAATGGGAGATAATTTTTCGGGCTACTTTATTTATTTATTTTATTATAGAAAATGGCACCTGTATAAGTCTAACTTCAAAATAAATTGATAAAGAAGAAGTCAGAAGTGTTTTTAATAGTTTGGATATCTAAATTAGTAATTGAAATGCTTTGAAAAATATGAAAAAATACTGTGAATTATCTTTAAATAGTGAATATTGTCAGTTATAATATATTAACAAGTAGAGTATCGATTTTATAAAAAATTAATCAAAAAATTTACTAAGTACTAAAATTATAATAAATTAATCTTATTCAAACAATCAATATCAAATAACTAAATTAATTAATTAAAAATACTTAATCAAAATTTAAACTAAAAAAAATAAAAATAATAAATACTCAAGTAAATATCAAATCAAACAAGCTTAAAATTATAATATCCCTCTCACTTTATTTAAATATTATCTCTCTTTTTTAACTTATTTTAATGTGTTGAATTGTTAACGTAGAGTCTTAATTTATTTATAAGGGTCTTTCAACTCATCTTATAAAAATATATATTTTAATCAAAACATTATATCTCTATGTGAATTGAAATTAAAATAGACTCATTAAGTTCAAGCTTATAGGTATATTTCTATCCTACACGTAAATCAATTAATATGATCCTATGCTATCTCAATTTTAGTCCACTAAACTACCTTTCCCAAGTTTATTTCAGTTTCTAAATCAATGCAATTGATAGCCACAATTAAAAGCATTGAGAACAAATTGAAATAAACAATTCAATTTCTATTGAATATAAGTAAGAAAGAGATTAAAAATTTAGATTATATATGAGTTCAATTGTAATCTTAGAAAAAGAAAATTAACTACTCATGATTGCAAAAACAAATAACATTATAATAAATTCAACCATTAAGAGTAACAAGAAAAATAAAAACCAAGGAAGAAAACAAAATAATATTTGCAAGCTTAATCTTCAAGTTTCAACCTCAACTTTTAGCTTCTTGAATCTCCAAAATTGTCTCTCTCTTGTTTTAAAAAAAAAAATCTTATTTATACTAATGGACTTAATTTATAATTCTCTAAGTTGACTTATGATTTAATTGAGCTTAAAAGAGTAATGAGAGGCTCAAAAAATCAATTGTCAATCTTGACAAATTTTCATTCTTGACATAGTACGTCCAGCTATTTTGTGACATGATTTTCTCTATCTTCGAGGCAGAATTGGGTAAAGTGATTTCATGAAAATTGTAATTCTGTCTCTTAACTTTTCAATGACCTAAAAATTACATCATTTAGAGTTATGTAGATATAGCTAAAACACTGAAGTATACTTAAGCAGACTTTTAAATCTTCTAATACTTTACTTATTAAAATTAAACTCAATCTTTTTTACTCTTAGGAAAAAAATAAAAATTAATAAATAACAATTAAATTAAAAAAATAACATAAAATTAAAATAATTCACTTAAAAATAAATTAATTATAAAAATAATTAAAAATAAATAAAGTATAATTAAAAATTAAAAATTTAATTAATATTTAATAATAAAATTAAACTAAAATAATTCTATAAAATACTTCCTCGCTTAGAATATCCTTGTTTCCGACTCTGAAAAAGAAAGAAATTTAAATTTAAGTGACTGCAAAGATAAGGGGCTCGCGTGACTGTGATCCTCTCGTTTTAATTTTTTCTTACGTTTGAGTGTAGACAGGTGCAGTACGGTCAGCCAGCCTTAGTATAGCCGTTGCTTTGTAGACTCTTGTAGACTTAAAACCCAACGAAAAGAGAACCCTCCAAAAAACCGTAAACCCAGGAAAAGGGCAGAAAAAGAGAAAAGAAAACAATGGCACAAGCTTCTTCAGTTGTTAGCATCAACAGAAGGAAGCGTTGCGTTTCACTTCCTTTCCACGGTTTTGTTGTCGCTTTGGCTGTGATTCTGCTGTGTTTTGTACCCATTAACGTCTCGGCTGCTGCCAGGCGAGAGCCTCCGCAGCAACAGCTACCGCAGAAGCTGAGGTTTGGTCGGAATGGGGAGTTTAAGATACTACAAGTGGCGGACATGCACTACGCAGATGGTAAAACAACGCCGTGTTTGGATGTGTTGCCTAGTCAGGTTCATGGTTGCTCTGACCTCAACACCAGTGCTTTTATCCAGCGCATAATCCAAGCTGAGAAACCCACTTTTATCGTTTTCACTGGTAATTTAGTACACCCTTTTCGTATTAGTTGAAGAAAGTCAGTTTATTTGTACAAAAATTTGTACTTGATGAGATGAAAATGTAGCCTTCATCTCTTGTAATTAGTTGGTATTGTCGGTATAGGAAGCTCCCTTTTTTGCACCTTATAAATCCTCCTGCTTTTGTTTTTCTGGTAAAGAAAATTTTGAGGGAGTGAAGTTGGTTTGGTTTAGTTGGTGACTGTAGTGATTTTTTAGAAGAGCATTGGTCAAAACCCTGAGTTCTGGTTGGTTATGTCATAGTTATTCTTTGCTATCTTTTAATAGCGTAGAATAATTATTCAGGTTAGCTTTGATTGGAACTATTCGCTTTTTCTCAAAGTGGTACAATCTTTTCCCAGCATGCTCATTGAGATATCCTTATTCACCTATGCAAGTGTTTTGTTTGCTTGTCAGGTGATAACATCGTTGGATTTGATGCCACGGATTCAGCAAAATCTTTAAATGCAGCATTTGCCTCTGCAATTGCTGCAAGAATTCCATGGGCTGCTGTTTTGGGGAACCATGATGGGGAAGGCACCTTATCAAGGGAAGAGGTTATGAAACACATAGTTGGATTGAAGCATACTATGTCTCAATTCAATCCTTCTGAAGCACATATTATTGATGGTTTTGGCAACTATAACCTGGAGGTTGGTGGAGTCGAGGGGTCTGGTTTTGCAAACAATTCAGTTCTCAATCTCTACTTCCTTGACAGTGGAGATTACTCTACAGTTCCAGGCATCCCAGGCTATGGTTGGATTAAACCCTCTCAGCAGCTGTGGTTTCAACGTACTTCTGCAAAGCTTCAGGTATGAACCTCATTGGACTCTGATTGGACAACATTTGAAGTTCATTTCTTTTGCTAAATAGTGGGCATGCCTGTCTGAAGTTACTCTATTGACCTGTGGCCTTATGATTGGATGCCTTCTTTGTATCTAATAAATCATTTTCTTTACATTGCAGAGAGCCTACATGAGCCCACCAAATGTTCAGAAATCATCTGCACCTGCACTTGCGTATTTTCACATCCCGCTGCCTGAATTTGCTAGTTTTGACTCATCAAACTTCACAGGGGATAGACAAGACGGTATTAGTTCTGCATCTGTGAACTCGGGCTTCTTCACAACCATGTTAGAAGCAGGGGATGTGAAGGCGGTTTTTACAGGTCATGATCACCTCAACGACTTCTGTGGTCAATTGACTGGTATTCAATTATGTTATGCTGGGGGTTTTGGATACCATGCCTATGGGAAAGCTGGATGGTCCAGGAGAGCTAGGGTGGTGGTAGCATCTCTAGAGAAGACAGAGAAGGGAGGTTGGGGGGCTGTCAAGTCAATCAAGACATGGAAGCGCCTTGATGATCAACATCTCACTGCCATTGATGGTCAGGTCCTCTGGAGCAAGAATTCTGCTGGTAAAAACAAGTAACTTCGGTCACTGTTTCCCACAATGGATTGATCTTGTCCTACCTATAAAGGTTGGCAGCTACTTAGGACCATCTACATGGAGGGTTTGAAATTTTTTATGACTCTGCATCTAGACATTAGCCAACTAACATGACTTCGATCCAAACTTGCTTCTTGGTGTTGCCTTCTTCCCCCGTGTGCCCATAGGGAAAAGTTTCCCCCTTAAAATAAGTTTTAAACATTTGATGAATCGCATGGCCATTTAATCTTGACGGTTTTCTTTAAGATAATGTATCCTGTATTATCCTTGACTATTGACCATATCGGCAAAAGTTCAGGGTAGCTCTTCATGTGTTGGGGTTTGTTACAGACTTACATTTTCTGGATGTCATGTGAAACAAGAGCTCCATTTATATCCTAAGCAGCATTGGTGGTGAAATAACTCATGCACATTGTTTGGAAATCGAATTTGTTTGTGCTTATGGAATAAATTCACATGATGTTCGGTGCATTAGATGAATTTGTAGGGAATTGAAGCTTCCAGCATCTTGATTTTAATATGTGCTTTGGCTCCTTCTCTCTCTCTCTGTCTCTTCCTTAT